GATCGGCGCGATTTTATACGGCACTCCCGATTAATTACGATGCATAACTTTATTATATCAAGATGAAAAAGCAATGCGAAAACTATGATTCACTCGATAATTCACTCGGCGACACTCGCTGTGACACAATGTATTTTTTATCATTAATGAATAGTATATAATTCGAATTTTTTAATATAATTTTATGTATATCTCGCATTAGATTAGGTTAAATTAATATAAATGAATAAAAATAATCAAATTAAAATTGAAAATACATATGCGTGGATTTTAATATTCTCAAATATAGTTAAATATATCGATATTAAGTTATTTGCTCTGATTTTCATCGAATAAATCTCCCGAAATATATTTTGAGAAATTACAATATTGTAAAATCACATTACTCATGCGATTGATATAAAGAAATGAGTTTAATAACAATTATATTAATTTATGTGTGTGTCATCATGCGAGTTAATGACACGATAAACCGATATCAAAAGATATATAATCGAAATTAATATTGCAAAAACAGTAGAATTCCGATGCAAAAATTTCGCAAAATACATATTATTAACAAGAACTCGATTCGAATCATTTATCACAAAAATTAATTAATTATGCGAGCCGATGTTAAAAATATGAGGAATGATATCGCGTTTCGAAAAATAATACGACGATAAATGCGGAGTGATATGCGCCACTACCTACTCGCTCGAGTGTCGCCGTATGAATGAATAAGGTCAAGGGTATACTATTGTTTACCTGTGACGCGTAAGGAATTTATCCATCGCGCGAGCAGATTTTGATCAAATAAATCGTTCCTTCTTTTACCAATGTTTTGAGAAATAACAATGTAACATATTTATATAATTTTATGTATATGTATACAGGGTGTCCCAGTTATCTTCCGTCATCTTTCAAAGACAGATTCCTAGGATCATTTGAAGACGATTTTTCTTCAGCGAAAATGTGAATGAAGGCCATCATTTTTTGCATGTTCCCGATTTTTATCATTATATAATTAATTAAGTCTTAAATTAAAATTCAACTAAAGTAAACTATATTTAAAATTAATCGAAGAATGTGATTTTGTTAATATTTTATTTCTACAAAGCTTACGAAAAACCTCTTATTTCCAATCACTTATAATTCGTTGAGGAAAAATCGTCTTCAGACGATCCCAGGAATCTGTCTTTGAAAGATGACGGAAGATAACTGGGATACCCTGTGTAAGTGATTGATAATACATATACATATGTGTATATATATATTTTTTTAAAATAAAATTAATGATTTAATAAAATAATGATTGAAGGATTGGATAGAATAATGATTGCGCGTGAAACCACTCGATTAAGAATGTATACTTTATTTGTGACATTTTGTGATTGAAAATGATATCGATTTTATTCTAATGATGCTGCGCTAATCGAGTTAATGGCATGATAAATCGTCAAGAAATATAGAAATTAGCATTGCAAAAGCACGGTAGATTTTTAATGCGCAATCTCGCGAAATACGTATTATTAACAAGGAGTCGATACGTCATACGAATCACAGGAAATCTATAGTTTATCACAGGAATTATATAGGAAAATAATCAATTACGCAAGTCGATGATAAAAAATACTAAAGAACGTTAAAAATATTAAAATACGTTTTGGAAGATACAATAGAAGAGTGATTTACAAAATTGCTTTGCTCGAGCGTCGTCGTACAAAGGAGCAAGGCCAAGGCCATACTAATATTTGCATATGTATAGGTAACACGTTATCGGTGCTATATGTACGTCGACGTGTAAGATACACGTCGAATAACGGATAATGCTTATTAGCTTGAAATATTTAACACAATGAACACGTATACGGAATATTTTGTATGTTTCTTAAATTTTTAAGATAATATGCTGTTGAATCATGGCTTTTAATTCTCTTTATTATTTTTGATCGTATTCATTACTGGTAAATCTTAATCCAAAAATTATTATATAAATAAATATTATTTATTATTTATTAATATTATTTATTATATAAATACATTATTATATAAATTAAAATAAATCGATGAAATATTCAAAATGTGAAGCAAAATATATATATTTGAATCTATTTTAAGAAATAATTATCACAGTATATATTGCAATGAAACATTAATTTATAATTTATCTCCTGTCACTTCAATTTTTATTTTAAATGATTATATTGTGGAAATAATATTCGCAATGAAATAAATGAAATAAATAATTGTCATCATATAATACATAAATTTATACGTAACTTAGTAAATAATGTTTAAAATTTCTCTTGATTCATCAATATATGTCTAGGATATTTTTAAACATAATTAAACTTTTATTGCGTATATTAATAATCGATATTGAATCAGCTTTTGATTTTTTTATATTACTTACTGATCAGCAATAATCCAACGAATAAATAAGTAGCATGAATCGCGTTTATCACTATATTATTTTTCGAAACGAGATCATTTTTTTATTTTTGTCGGTTCGCATAATTCGATTAATTTTTGATAAACGACTCGATAGATGACATGTCGCCTGCTTATTAATAATATGTCGCAAGATTTACGCATTGAAAGTCTACTGTGCGCTTTTGCAATGCTAATGTTGATTATATATATTTCCTGATGATTTATTATGTCATTAACTCAGTTCACGTAGCGTCGTGTAATATCAGAATGAAATCATTTTCAATCACAAAATATCGAGTAAAATGTAAATTCTAAATCAAGCGATAATATCACGACTCCTTTGCAATCATTATTAATCCTATTTTTCATATCTGAATATCAATCGTTCACATATACATACATTACGCATGTATAATAAATATATAAATATATAATTACATAAAAAAAATATTAAAAAATATATACATACACATTATATTGTTGTTTTTCAGAAATATGGGCGAAAAAAATTATGAATTATTAAATAAAAATAAAATTATTAATTAAAAATTATTAAATTATTTCTATCAAGATTTGTTCGCGCAGTTGCTAAATTCCTAACGTTCTTTCTATAAACGCTATAAGCACGACCTTGACCTTGTTCATTCGTACGGTGACACTCGAGCGGGTAGGTAGTGACGTACGTCGCTCTGCGTTTATCACGTATTATTTTTCGAAACGCGATCATATTTTCATATTTTCATCATCGGCTCGCATAATCGATTAATTTCTGTGACAAACAATTCGTATAACATATATGCTTTTACGAGACACTAAGAATTTCGATTATATTTCTCGACTTCATTGTGTCATTAATTTAATTTATGTAATATACATAAACATATGTAAATGATAATGTAAATGATAAATTATAAATTATTGTTTCATTGCAATATATACTGCGATAATTATTTCTTAAAATAGATTCAAATATATTTTGCTTCATGTTTTGAATATTTCATCGATTTATTTTAATTTATATAATAATTTTTGGATTAAGATTTACCAGTAATGCACAGTAAAAAATTTTGTGTTAAATTTAACATATTTCACATGTCTCAATTTATCCACTCTAATTTTAACGTTAATTTAACAGAAGGCAAGTATGTAAATAAATAACACAAGTAATATGTTTAAAAATTAACACAAAAGTGTAACACTTAAACTTTATCTGGAAATAAAGTTGATGTTAAATTAACATATTTATAATGTTAAATTTAATTTTAAAAAAATGTTCTTACATTTTTATGATAAATAACAGAAGAGATATGTCGATTTAACATATGGAAACTGTTATAGAGAGAAAAATAATACAACTTATCTGTTCATTTTAACATATAACATATTTCATCAAAAATTCGTGCATTTAATTTACATATTAATTGTGTTGTTTTAACTCTTAGAAACGGTGAATATTAACTCAACACAGAAATGTCAAAATAACGCAATGATAATATGTTACATTAATATAAGAGTATGTTAAAAATTTAACACAAAAATTTTTACAGAAAATTTTAACAGAAATACAAAATGTTTTTTACCGTGTGAATAAAATCAGAGTGAAATCGACAAATGTAAGTAAATGCAGCCTTGATCTTGCTTATCCGAATGAATACGAATCGCTCTGCTCATCTATCGAGACGCGATCGTCCTCTAATATTTCTATCATCAGTTTGCGTAATTAATTAATTCCACGATAAACGTCGTCTATAATATACCGGCTGCTTATTGATACATACGTGTGTCACGTGAGTGTCTAATGAATTAATATTAATCCAGCGCCTCAGGGACGGCATCCCTATAACTTTACGTTCCCGAAATGGACGGAATGAGAGCGCATCACGCGATTTGGCCAATTGGTCTTACCGCGGTCAATGCCTTCGTCAATTAACCCATTCAGACCCTATGTGCACAATTATGTATAAAAACTTTAAAATCATTTGAAATAGTTATTTGTTAGAATTAGTTTCCCTGCGATCTCTCGGTGGAAAAAAAATATATATATATCGCGAAAAAAATATATATACAGAGTGTCCCAAAACTCATAATCAATCTTTTAAAGACAGATTCCTGGGATCATTTGGAGACGATTTTTCCTCAGCGAAAATGTCGATGAAGGCCATAATTTTTTGCATGTTCCCAATTTTTGTCATCATATATCTTTGCAATTAAGCCTTAAATTAAAACTTAACTAAAGTAAACTCTGTTTAAAATTAATTGAAGAATATGATTTTGTTAATATTTTATTTCTACAAAGCTTAGTTTACGAAAAACCCCTTATTTCCAATTACTTATAATTCGAAAATTATTAGTGCCTCGACATTTTCGTTGAGGAAAAATCGTCCTCAGATGATCTCAGGAATCTGTCTTTGAAAGATTGATTATGAGTTTCGGGACACCATGTATATATCTCGTCGTTTTAAACCCTTAGCATCAATAAAAATTAATTCGATAATGTTTTACAGAAAAAATTCAGGTCTGAATGGATTAAGAAATAGAAATATACAATCCCTGATTTAATCACAGACAAATAATGTGGATTTCAGGGCGAAACCCGCGGAGCCGGCAGCAACTGCAGCGGCACCGGCATCAACGAGATCAGCGTCGAGCACGGGACGAAAAAGGGACGCGGTCGCGTCGCTCTTCAGCGCGAGGAGGCCGGCAGCGAGTAAGAAAGCCGAGCGCACCGTCGTCCGAGGGGACAAGGCGACGAAGCCGGCGAATCAGCGGCTAAAGTAAGTCCTCAAGCATGATTCCTTGCGTGAGCGTCATCGTTTATAAAATAAAAAAAAGACGAAAACGAGAGAAAAAACGAGAGAGGAAGAGAGAGGAAAAAAAGCGCCGCGCGCGAGATGCGTCTGTTCGTCGTTAGTTTGCGCGAACGGGTTCGACGACCCCCGGCCTCGGGCTCCGGGCTCCTTTCCCCATCGATTTCTCGATGCCACGCGCTGTACGAATGGCTGTATCGAGGATATATCTTCGGATATATATATCGATTCTCGAGGACGTCGCCGAGATCGCCGAATGCTCAACTGCGATCTTGACATATGTATATCTCGGCGAGATACGCGATATTTATTTCTAAGGTAACGACAGATGGGATGATTCACGAGAAGCGAAGTACGATTGATATTTTTCTAAATGCGCGATTATTAATTCATTTTTTGTGTAACATATTTTATTTTTCTTTATTTTATATTCTTCATTTTTTTTTAATATTTTAGCGCGAGGTGAAATATAATATATTAAACGTGTATTTATACATGTTAATATATTAATGCAACCAAATTTTTTTCCCAGTGTATTTATATACTGGGAAAAAAATCTGGTTGCATTAAATTTATATACATGAAAACGAAATTTAATTAATTCGTATTATACATAAAATCATAAACTTATTTTTAGTATTTTATTTTTTCAAATAGTTTACTTTTTTCAAATAATTTGTAATAATTTGAAAGTATATAAAGATGCATTATATGAGAAAACTATATCAAATTAAAGTTGTATATTTTTCTTAATTATTTTAACTCTTATTCTTTTAACGCGAGATATCTTGCAACTTCATCAATCTTCGGATTTTGATATATTTGAATAATGTTTTTTAACTTTGTAAAAAATTAATTTTGGGGAGGCAGAAAATAAATTCATACACTGAGAAAAAAATCTGGTTGCATTAATTAGAATTCTGTAGATTCAACCAGTATGTTTGTTGGAAAATGGACGAACCAGAATTCTTGTAGGAATTACCAGATGAATCTGATCAATTTTTTCCTGTTAAATTTACCAAATTTTCTGGTTAATAATAACTAAACTCGCCAGCACCAAGTCTAAAATTGTTTCCATCTAATCTCAAAAGTCTATTTAATATTCTGAATTCCAACAAGATTATTGGATAAATTCAATCCAGATTATTGAGTAAATTATTTTAAATCCAGTTTGTTAAAAATTAAACTGATAAACAGTGATGCAAGAAGAGGAGCTCAAACACACACAATCAGAGAGCTGGCGTCCTCTTTCTGGCACTATTGCTCGTAAGAAAAAAAATATACTTTGGATTTAATGTTAATACTAATTCTTTATATACATTTCATGGCAAATATTGAATGCGAGTTAAGTTAAGAAGCAAGCAAAGAAATTAATGCAATAAGAAATTTTATAAATCCAATCAGAAAATACTGACCAAATCCTTATAGTAAAATCTATTAAACGTTCTAGTCATAAAAAATCGAGTCTTATCATGATAACTAGAAATTCTTCGTTTGATTTAATTTGAATTAATAAAATTTAATAAAAATCTTCAATCATATACGTCTTGTTGGTACAATCAAACGATTTTTCTCAGTGTATATACATGGCATTCTTGATTCTTATGCATGTAGTTTTCTGGTTGACCTCGATATATGTATCTGGTACAGTATTTCCGTGTCTGTAAATTTTTATCTCGAAGTGAACGCTACAACTTAGTAGTCGATTGAGAATTTTCTTTACGCGCGAGTTCTGTTTATCTTTTTTCCATCCTTCTTTAATCTTGATACATTCACGTTCGATTTTTTGCCTCGGTTCATATATATCAGATATATATGGTATGAAAAAGCAGTCGCTTGACGCGTAACTAATCGCATTTAATTTGTGCCGCGTATTTTTGACGCATAATCGACAGATCGTGTTTCGCCAAAAATACATCCAGCTACGTTAAATTAGTCGCTTTTTCATTCTCGATTTATATCGCGAGTCCAGTAAATTGTGCCGTTACCTTAGGAATAAATAAATCATCATTTGCTGCAAAAATAAATAAATCGTCATTTGCTAAAACGAGTTTCGAGAGTCGGACAATGATAATTGACGATGTAATAAAACATATACAAGGTGACGCAAAAATATAAAAGTTTAGTGCGCGTTTATTTCATTCTGTTACTTGCAAAAAATAATAAAATTGAAAGAAATTTATATTATAATTGAAAATAATATATGAAAAAACGGCATATATATTTATAAATTGATGGAGTGAAAACTTGAAGAAAACTATTGAAAATAAATTTATTTCTTAATATTGATTTGTCGTATTTTTATTTAATTAGTATCATATATACATTTAAGTATACATGTATATAATATACATTTATAAGTATATAATATACATTTAAGTATACATGTAATATATATAAAGGTTCTTATAAAAAATTCATTTATGCAGGGAGGATTAAAAATTTATAAATACTTAATTAAAAATTATTCAAGATTAAAAGCAATTATAATTGGTCGATTTGGACATTGTAGTATTTAAGAACATCGAGCAACTATAGGATCGAGATTTTCTTGATGCCTTTGCGCCTCGTATTTGCGCGCTCACTTTCTCTCATTTCCCGTTTCTCGACGGTTGGATTTCGCGAATCTTTCGAAATATTCCTCATCGATAAAAGGAGGCGAATTGCTGTCTTCTGCATATAATTGCGCTAAACCAGTTTAAAATTCTCTTTAATAATATTCCAATTCGTGCTATTGAAGCTGCATCTGCAGCAGCTTTCTTTTTTGCAAGATCTGTAATAATTTTGGTAAAGTATATAATTTTTAATTATTTTGTGAGAAAGAAACATACAAATCCATACGATATATAACAAGAAATAATTATACATTACAATACAATTTTTTTTCAAGTTTTCTGAATAAAATATTTAAATATTTAAATATTTAAATATTTGAAATAATGTTTCGATATAACGGATAATTGAAAGTCACAAAAAAGAATTGAATAAATATAAAGCTACTTATGAGCTCTAGGACTTATAAATGTATTCCATTTGCTCAGAATTTTAAAAATTCGCGTGGTGCAGGATTTCCTTGAATTTTTAGAGATCGAGTATATGCTTCATGCGTATTTATTTTAGTCTCACACTCTTGCTTTGTTTATTTCGACCATGTACAAATTTAATGTTACCTTGTAACGTATATCGCATCATATATCTTTCGCCGAACAACTCGCGCCTTTTCTCAGATATTCGCCAACACTTAAATATCGATATATCGGTACACGCGTGGGTCTCAGGCCCATCACTAGCCGACGACCCACTCTCTGGCAATGAGAGCGGCACTTGGTACCGACCCACATACCCAGTGAATCAAAAGTCAATGGGCGGCGCGACGCGCGTCGGTGCGTCCTAGTCGCGTAAAATCACGAGAGAGAGAGAGAGAGGGGGGGGGGGGAGAAGATACATCACGAGTAAATTTATAAAAATTCGCGGATAAGCCGATTTTTCTCGCGATCTTGCAAGATAGAATCTCATTTCTTAACGTAGCGTGTGAAGCGATCATTGTTCTCGTTTAACGCAACAATGTCTGAATTATCATAATAGTTGAAATGCCAACTATGTTTATTTCATCGGAAAGTTTTATGAATTTTTTTGAAATCGCGAAATATAGTTATGTAAAAAATTATTTTCGGAAATATCTAATTTAGATTAAAACATTCATTATGAAATTTATATACATGAAAACAAGATTTAATTAATTCGTATTATACATAAAATCATAAAGTTATTTGTAGTATTTTATTCTTTCAAATAGTTTATTCTTTCTCAAATATTGTAATAATTTGGAAGCATATAAAGATGTATTATATGAGAAAACTATATCCAATTAAAGTTATATATTTTTCTTAATTGTTTTAACTCTTATTCTTTTAAGGCGAGATATCTTGCAACTTCATCAATAGTCGGATTTTGGTATAATATTTGAACAACGTTTTTTAACTTTGTAAAAAATTAATTTTGGGGAGGCAAAAAATAAATTCATACACTGAGAAAAAAATGTGGTTGCATTAATTAGAATTCTGTAGATTCAACTAGTATGTCTTAAAAAATGGACGAACCAGAATTCTTGTAGGAATTACCAGATGAATCTGATTAATTTCTTCATGTTAAATTTATCAAATTTTCTGGTTAATGATACTAAATTGATCAACACCAAGCCGTCTAAAATTTTTTCCATCTAATCTCAAAAGTCCGTTTAATATTCCAACAAGATTATTAAATATTAGATAATAGAAAGACAAAATATTAGATAAATTCAAGATTACTGAATAAATTATTTTAAATTCAGTTTATTAAAAATTAAATTGATAAACAGTGATGTAAGAAGAGAATGCAGCTCAAACACACACAATCAGAGAGCTAGCGTCCTCTTTCTGGCACTACTGCTTGTAAGAGAAAAAATATATACTTTGAATATAATGTTAATACTAATTCTTTATATACATTTCATGGCAAATATTGAATACGAGTTAAGTTAAGAAGCAAGCAAAGAAATTAATGTAACAAGAAATTTGATAGTTCCAACCAGAAAATACTAACCAAATCCTTATAATAAAATCTATCAAATGTTCTAGTTATAAAAAATCGAGTCTTATCGTGATAACTAGAAATTCTTGTCTGATTTAACCAAAATGCCTTCAATCATACACGTCTTGTTGGTACAATCAAACGATTTTTCTCAGTGTACAATTGCAATATATTATTATATTAAAATATATTGATAAATTATATTGAAAATAAATATTGATAAATTACATTAAAATATATTGCAATTTATATTAAAATATTAAAATTTTTTTCAAACAAAGCCACGCATAGTTGAAAGATCCTTACATCCTCAAATTTCTTTAAAGCAGCAAAGAAATAAACGTTCTTCTAGTTATAAAAAATCGAGTCTTATCGTAATAACTAGAAATTCTTGTTTG